ACAACAAATCAATACCTCTGGGGGTACTTGCTGCTGTGATTCCTTGTTTTCTGGATTGGTTCAAAATTACAAGGCTACGGAGTTGAACGTAAGTAGTCGTAAACCTATGAAATTGGGTCGGCTGTTCAACGACGGTTATAAAATAAAATAAAACAATGTTTCTAACTTAATGACTTGATTTTAGTTTTTCATTAAATTTGCTTTGTTTCTTTTACTACCTTGATATTTTAAAAGCAATTAATTTCCATTTATATTACAGACATCAAAGAACGGGTAGCAAATCCTCATCTTTATGGTCCTGATTTACACCGTCCTCCAGTCCATGAATTGGATTGTCCAAATTACATAAAGTGCTGCATGGAGGAGTGTTGGTCAGAAAATCCAGAAGATAGACCAGATTTTAAACTCATTAAAGTCAAACTTCAAAACCTTTATGCTGGATTGTAAGTATTAAATAGATTTAAAAATGCTGCAAAAATATTTTTTTTTAAATTTTTGTGATGTAATTGTCGTAAATTTTAACTAAAAACCTTATAAGCTTTGTGAAATATCTTTTCTAAACTATCAATAGATTTTAATATTAAAGTAAATTTAAATACAGAATGACTCACATCAATATCTTTAGAAAATAAAATTTGGAAAAAGTTTAACGAATAATAAAGTAGTTGAAAGAATAGTAAATATTTGCAAAACCCTTTCTCTTTTTTCTATTTTAAATTATTGAAATTCATTACAGTTAGTATATTTATGTAATGAATTTTATAATAGAAGAACATCTACAAGTACTTTATAATTCAATATAACTTTTTACAGAAAATTATAAACGTTTTGTAGAACTCCAGCGCAAAGTTAAATGCACAAAGTTGCTGTTGTCTAACACAAAGTCACTAAAATCTAGTACAAAGTTGTTATTGTATGCTATTAGGACAAATGGGGTACAAAGTTGAAATTAAATGTTGAACTGCTCATTAAAATGTTGCAATCATGCAACTTCTCAAATTTTTTGTAAAATACCGGTTTTAACTTTCAAGGAATATTACTTACATATATTATGACTTATTTTTCACCTTATTGCACAAAGCAGATATATATGTCAGACAACTTTTAACTATAATTTAGACACGCACTTTTCAAATTCTAGAATTTTCATAAAATATTCCATAAAAATCAAAATTTGCTATTTTCATAAATATTGATTATTTTTTATTTATAAATTTTTTTCTGCATTTCAAGTTTTCGAGTTTTGTTTTATAAACAATAAATAAATTTAAACAGAAAATCTACTTTAAAACTAAATTTAGAAATTCATTCATATCGACGATGATGCGTTGACCATTTCTGTTTTATTGTAGTTCTCTGTTCATCCAATTGATTTTTGTTTCTTTCAGAAATGCCAATATTTTTGATAATGTGATCAACATTATGGAGAAATACGCTAGCAATTTAGAAGCTGTTGTGAAAGAACGTACGAACGAACTATACGAGGAAAAGAAAAAAACTGAGAATTTGCTGCTCAGAATGTTACCAAAGTATTTACTTAAATTGTTTTAATATTTATGTTTTACAAGAGGCCTATAATAATAGGAAGGACTCTGGTTATAAAGTTTAATTCATTAAATATGCAATACATTCAGAACTATTTCATTCTGTAATACTATTCAGTTTATTCATTTTTCAGTTGGTAGATTGTCAATGCTAGATTTTAGCTTACTGAAAATTAATTTCAATTAAAAAACAAAACAAAAAAAAGAATGTAGGTATAATATGGGATTTGTTTTGGCGGGATATTAATAATGTAGTGATAAATAGAACGTATCAGGGTGATTGGAAATAGAACGTATCAGGCCATACGATTTTGCTTAGAAACGATAAGCTGGCTCCGGCGTCATACTTGGTCACATACACTATCTGGCCAATAATGACCGGACACCCCTCATTTTGGATACATGAGGTGCTAGCATCATGTCAGTAGAGCGTAGGGCCGCCACGCGCCCGAATTACAGCTTTAACCCTTCTAGGAAGGCTATCCACTAGGTGTTGGTACACGGCGGCAGGTATTGCCCGCCATTACTCCTGTAACATGACGAAGAGTTGAGTGGTGGTTTTGGGGCGTTGTGGTCTGACCCTCAACCGGCGCTCCAACTCATCCCAGAGATGCTCAATTGGATTGATGTCGGGACTTTGGGATGGCCAGTCAAGCTCTTGGGCCCCCATTTCATCAAACCAGTCCGTGATGGCATGTGCTTTATGAATGGCAGCGTTATCGTGTTGAAACACAAACGGGCCATTACCGAACTGTTGCCACAGGGTGGGAAGCGCCGAATTGTCCAGGATGTCTCTATACCCTTCTGGTTCAGGGTTCGCGCACTAACACCAAGGGTCCAAGGCCAAACCATGAGAAACAGGACCACACCATAATTCTTCCACCGCCGAAATTCACAGTGGGGACAATGCACTCCTGTAGGTACCGTTTTCCGGGCATTCGCCAGGTTCACACCCGTCCATCAGAGTGCCACAACATGTAGCGTGACTCATTACTTCACATAATGCTTTTCCATTGCTCTACTGTCCACTGGCGACGTGCTTTGCACCATTTAAATCGGTGGCGGGCGTTTGATGGAGAGATGTTTGGCTTATGTGCTGCTGCTCGTCCATGGAATCCTTGTGCAATCAGCTCCCGACGAATGGTACGTGTACTGGCAACACTGCCAGATGCAGCCCGGAAGTTGGTAGCGACAGTGTCCAGCGACATTTGTCGGTTTGCCTTCACTACACGTTGAAGAGATCGTCGATCCCTGTCGGACATTATTTTGGGCTTGCCGGGTCGGGACTGCGGTTTTATCACTCCCTCTCGTTCCCATTTCAACAGGATGTCACCAACAGTTGACCGTGGTATCTGAAACTTGTTGGATATGGCACGTATGGAATGACCAAATCGGTGGGCGCCTATGATCATGCCCCTTTCCGCCTCATTCAACTCTCGCCGTCCACTCATTTTCACTGTTAACGCTCGTATGGCCGTCGTCTGCTTGCGAATGGTCTTTCCCCTACCACAGGTTCCGTATTTATTCCACCAGGACGAGTCCACCTGCCGTTCAAGGGGTGTCCGGTCATTAATGGCTAGATAGTGTATGTTGGTATCCTTGATCTTTTTCTTCTTCCTAAAATTCAAGTACCCAATTATGCTTAAAATATGCAAACGGTAGCTTTCATAAAAACAGAGATAATGGTATAAAATCATTTATACTTGAATGAAATTAAAAGAAAATTTTCAGAATGAATGGTTTCGTATCATAAAAATGAAGAAAAACAATCGCATGTTAACGGTACAAATAATTTTCAACAATAAACAGTAAAATTACGTAACCAGTATCGAGGTAATGGTACGAAATCCAAAGTAATAAGAAAAATGAAACGAAAAGCTGCATTATGGCTGAAGAAGAATTTATACCGAGAATGTTACGAAACCTAGTGTGAGATAACGGTCAGAAATCCTTATAATTAAGAAAATGAATTAGGAAATTTCGCGATAACGGGAGAAGAATTTTGCTTAATAAAATTACAAAATCAGTATCGAGATAACTATACGGAATTTTTATACTGTGATGAAACGAAGCTAAATTCAACATTATAACAAATGACGAGTTTTGCAATGTAACATTAAAAACCAATAGCGAAATAATGGTACGATATTTGTTTACGTGATAGAACGGAAACGAAACGGAAATAATTATATATTGACATTCATTGACTTTATATTGATGTGAGTTCTTGATATACAACTTATTGTTTGAAATAAACTCTCTTGTTGTATCAGTTTTCTTTTTTTTCCCGCACTTATTCAATGGTGGATCCAGAAATTTTTCCTGGAGAGGGTCATAGACTTAGATTTCCCCCCTCCCCACAATTTATTTTTTTCATAAAAAAATTTCTTTGAATATATTTTTGAAAAGAAAACTGGGGTTTTTAATGCTAGTCTTCTCATTTATTTTTTTCATAATGAACAATAGAACAATACATAAATGATTCAAGTATTCAAAATCTTTAAATAATAAATGTAATGAGTTTTGTTAGAAACTTTGGCAAATCTGTCAATGATTTTTTTCAACATGCAAGTCAATTTCTCAATGAATGTTTAATAATGCGAGTCCATTTAATCGTTCTCGATTTTGAGTTGCACTAAGCTAAGCCAAGTTTTGAGACGTCGAAGAGTTGAAAAGGAACGTTCTGCTGTTGCTGCACTAACTGGCTGAGTTATTAAAATTCTAAACAACATATTGATTGATGGGTACAAATTGATGTCACAGGCATTAATAATCTTGGAAAGATCGTTGGGCACTTCAAGTCCTTCTTACAAGTCTTGAAGCAGTGAAGAACAAAATTAGATGGTTTTCCGACCTACATATGTGTATATGCCCCCTTAAGTTAATTTTAAAATATTTTATTTCTTTCGTAAACTATTGAAAAAACTATTATTTTTATTTTATTTTTTCAATTTGGGGGGGGGGCATGACCCCTATGACCCCCCCCCCCCACGCTGGATCCACCACTGCGTTTATTAGCCCAGCTAAATGGGTACTTAGTTTATATCACTCGTGAAATAGTATATGGATATCTTAATTTGATGATAGAGAGATTTTTTTTCTCTTTTTCTTTTTTCTAAAACTCAGACCTGTGGCTGAGCAGCTTTTACGAGGTGAACAAGTAGAAGCTGAAAGCTTCGATTCTGTGACAATTTATTTTAGTGATATTGTTGGTTTCACGTCATTGTCAGCTGTCAGCACACCATTACAGGTTAGTTATTTGTGTATATTCGTCTAAAAGCTTACTTTTATAAATTTTTACCTACTTTGTCTAATAAAAACCAAAAAGAAATATTTTTAAAAAAAAAAAAAAAAAAATTATAATAAGATGTGGATTTTACGAAGAAAACAAATCGTTGAAAGGCATGGTATGACGTGGCCTCGCATGATATCATCTGAGAAGGATCTGAAGATAGTAAACGTGGAATTCAAAGAGAAAAAAAAATCATATCACAATTTTTTAAAATTATTTTAATGAAGGAAAAATTTTAAGGAAAATTTTAGAACTAGCACTTTATCTCAAAAATTTGCTGTAAGAATTTTCTATTCTTAATTTTAATGATTTCCTTGTAATAAAGTTTTGAAAACAATTAGTGCAATTTAGGACCACCGGTTTTATCAGAGTATAAAATAATAAAATTTAATTTTTATAATCAGAACTCTTGTGGTGAAAAAAAAAGAGATCGCAATAAAATGAGGCATTTCTTTCCCATTATTCTGCTGATTTTATATAATGCTGATTTTGTATAATTCCCATAATGCTGATTTTGTATATAGGCATTATTTGAAATAATAAAATAATACTCGACTAGTGATTTAATACGTATGCGTCATAAGAAATTATCTAAATTATCTTGTCAACCACATATTATTTAATAATTATTTAATTTCTCAGATTTTCATTCATTTATCTAAAATAATTATTTTTTATAGATCAATTAATTTTTTAGTTTTCTAGGAGCTCGAACTAAACTAAAATATATATGATTCTTTTTTCTCATTCAAACGAATGGTTCATTTGCTACTGCTCTGGTATATTTGCCCCGAAATAATTTCTACGTTCTCTATATTTTATCTACTTTTTCCTACTAAAATAAAATAATTACTGTTATTATTATGTACAGAGTACATAATAATAATTATGTACTCTGTATATTATTAAAATAATATCCACCACAGTTATACTTGAATACTGCAATGAATAAAGTTGTTGATCAAAATATTCATATTTTTAAGATTTTTAATATATATTAACATTGATTATTTGTATTTTCTAGATAAAATATTAGTTATCTAAAAAAATTACTTAAGCCTATTTATTTAATGTCCGTCTTCTATTAAAATATGAAAGACATGAATTTCTTTTTATAGTAAAAGAGTGGGTAATCAAATCACATACTTCATTAAGTACGTTTATATAAAAGAGTTTTTTTCTTCTGTTTTTTCTTTTTGTGTGTGTGTGTGAGAGTGTATGTATGTCTGCTTGCGAAATTGAAAGAAGTTCAGTCAACCATTGCGAACCCAGAATCTTGAAGATAGTAGGATAACTCCCAACTGTTAAACAAAAAATTTTAAATTCTTTTAATTGAAACAATTAATAAGATGACGAAGGCGAAACAAAATCCAATCTTTAAAGAGAAATTATTCGCAAGAAAGTGCATAAAATCTCAATTACTTTTTAACGCGGAAGATTTTTAAAAAAAAGAAAAATTGTGGTACTTTTTACAGAAAACTATCAATTTATAGCAAATTAAATTTTGAGATTCTATCATTTGTATTGTCTGGAAAAATTAAAAATAAGGTTAATTGTGTTTATTTTCTTAATGTAAATTCATTATTTAAGAAAAATAATTTTTACCTCTTTAACTTTAGGAAAAAAATTAAAATATTGTATTGTCAGCGAGAACGTTCAGAATTCTAGGACACCGGAAGTAGATTGAACTAACTTCGACGCTTTTATTCGGATTCTTTAACTTCGGAAGTAACTTCGACACATTTAAATATAAAATAATTATAAGTTCTGAACTATTACCCCTATCGACTTAATTTCTGACTCTTTCATTTCAGCGTAGACAAATAAATACACATTGCACTCTAAATGATAATGTCAAGTGTGTAAAATTTTGTAAGCACAAAACTGAATTTTCCATTTATAAAAACTTATAATTCTTCAACTTGGTTTTGATTTTATTCGGCGCAGCCTAAAACAAATTAATTAGAACACAATACTCCAGTTAACTAAATAGGAATATTAAGCACGTAAATAGGTATAAGTGTAAAGTGCATACTTTATATACACTGTACCAACTAAATAGCTTATAATTTCTGAACTATTTGTCTTGTCGACTTAAAACAAAAAAGTTTTCTGAATGGACTAAAATGGTTTTATTCAAAATTATCAATGCAGTTTTTAATAATACGTCTCACAGATGGCACTCTGCGCAGTGATGGGAAAGTCAAATAATATACAGACAAAGACACTATACAGTTAACATCATTCATCATTGTTGTGATTAAATATATTTTCTGTCAGAAAGAATTTTGTTATAACTTATGCCACTCCCTCAATTCATATGAATTAATCAAAACGGATTCACAAATGAATGAATGAATAACCATTGAATCCCAAAATTATCGTATTTTATTTAATTCAGTGAACAAAAATTGCATAGGAACTCATAATTCACTTCCCAGAAAGTAAATTTATATTTCTCCAATTTTTACTATTTACCATTATTTACACTTAAGTCTTTGAAATTCTTTAATTAAGGGTAACAAATATAATTTTTATAGGTTGTAGATCTCTTGAATGATTTGTATACCTGTTTTGACTTTATCATCGGAAGCTATGACGTTTATAAGGTAGAAACAATAGGAGATGCTTACATGGTTGTAAGTGGACTTCCCATAAGAAACGGAGACCGCCATGCAGCAGAAATTGCTTCTCTGGCTCTCAGGCTACGGGAAGCAATCCAGACATTTGAAATACGACATAGACCAAAAGAGAGGCTAAGTTTAAGGATTGGCATTAATTCAGGTTAGAAATACTTATGTTTTTATTGTGATTTTTAATATTGAATAAAGCATGCCAAGTAAATTTGCCAACTATATCTGAGCTTCATTAATAAATTCAATAGCCTTCTTACTGGAACGTGAATTCTAAACTCGTAATAGCTCATAAAGAGTACCATATCAAAATACTTTTTAGCTAATATATGAGCTTAACTAATATATGAGCTTATAAAAAGTAGCATGAGTATATTAACACTAGATTGCCTAAGGAAGTCATTTTCACTGCTTTTAATTTCAATTAGAAAACTAATGATGTATATAATGACAAANTATAACTTATGCAACTCACTCATCTCATATGAATTAAGGAAAACGGATTCACGAATGAATGAATGAATAATCACTGAATGCCAAAATTATCGTCTTTTATTCTATTCAGCTTAAAAAATATACATAGATAATCATAATTCACTTCCCAGAAAGTAAATTTATGTTTCTCCAATTTTTACTATTTATCATTATTTACACTTAAGTCTTTAAAATTCTTAAATTAAGGATAACAAATATCTTTTTTTATAGGTTGTAGATCTCTTGAATGATTTGTATACCTGTTTTGACTTTATCATCGGAAGCTATGACGTTTATAAGGTAGAAACAATAGGAGATGCTTACATGGTTGTAAGTGGACTACCCATAAGAAACGGAGACCGCCATGCAGCTGAAATTGCTTCCTTGGCTCTCAGGCTACGGGAAGCAATCCAGACTTTTGAAATACGACACAGACCAAAAGAGAGGCTCAGTTTAAGGATAGGCATTAATTCAGGTTAGAAATACTTATGTTGTTATTGTGATTTTTAATATTGAATAAATCATGTCAAATAAATTCACCAACTATATCTCAGCTTTGTTGGTAAATCCAATAGCCTTCTTATTAAATCCCGACTGCTAAACTCTTAAAAGCTCATAAAGTACCATATGAATATATTTTTTAGCTTATAAAATGCGACTGAACCATCTGGCTAAGAGTTGTTTGCAGCTTATTTTTAGTTAGAGGAACCACTAGGGCAGAAGACTGACTTGACCTCTGGATTTGCTTGCAGTCGTCAGCTGAGCACAGTGGAACGGCCTTCACGCCTTGGGTGGCCCTACCAGGAGAATATTCTCCCGACGTCCTTCACCCGTTCCGCCCAGGGACACCCCCTCGCCGAGGTGAGGCCGACTGCGGGACTTGAGGGGGGAAATTACCCGAAACCCTGACAATTGCTCAGTCTTTAGAACTGAGATCATAGCTATTGGAACTGTCCTTAATTATGCCCAGACAACTGATAATAATTGCATTTGGATATTAACCGATAGTAGGAGTGCTATTCAGTATTTCAAGAACTGGCTGGAAATATTGGATATTCCTGGCCAGGAGATTATGAACCTTCTATCTGAGATAGGCCTGAAGACTCCAATAAGCCTCAAAAGGATGCTATTGCATGTCGGGGTACATGGCAATGAGACAGCCGATGTGATCACCAAGAATGGCTGTGATCTTCCTATGGACTGTTTGAACTGTCTTACTCCCACTGAGATTCACTCCCTGGGAAAACATCGTTTGCTTCCTGCGTGACGCCGTATTCCATCCCATCAGTGCTATGCAGGCAACCACCCTGGCCTATCATTAACATGCAGCGGCCCTCGGTCTTTCCAATCGGTCATGGCCAGATTTCGTAGTGGCCATCTTAAGTGTTTAAGGTTTCAAAATGGGGAGAAGACTTTCCAACCTTGTTCCTGCTCACAACCTGCTAGTCCCGATCACCTTCTTTTTCGCCTTGGCGCTTCTTTTAAGCAGCTGCTGGTTGATCGGGACTTTCGGCAGATATATGGGGAACTGACTCGACGGGGCCTTCTGGACCTGATCTAGGCTTTCCTTCTCCAGGGGGATGTGTAACAACAACAACAGCTTATAAAATATCTTAACTAATATATCAGCTTATAAAAAATAACAACAGTAAATGCAATATTTGGTTTCTAAATAGCAATATTTTGTAAATATTTTTAATAAAATTCTTTTGTTTAGCTCTTGTTTTCAGATACTGTTTTAATAACATTGGTAAAAGTTTATTTTCATTAAACAATGTTAAAAAATGTAAAATATAAATAGTGTTGATAGTTCAACGCCTCCAACATTACTGCGAATTAATAACTTTTTTTTCTAAAGTCCTTAACTTTTTCAAAATTCATGCATCCGAAGCATATTAGGAAGTAATTATTATCTCTCTTTCTCTCTCTCTCTCTCTCTCTCTCTCTCTGTATATATATATATACATATAAAATTTAATTCAATAAGAAAATTACTCAACCCAAAATCCAAAAAACAGAGAGATAACACAATCTTCCAAAAAGAGCACCCACCATAATGTAAATAAAAAAAATAGACAGTAGGGAGCAAACCTTTTGAAACTTTTTCTTTAAGCAACATTGCTTAATAATATAGAACAGTAGTTTGAAGATTAAGTCATGCAACAGGGGNTGATGCATGCCAAAAATATTATATTACAATAACAAAAAAAAAACAAAATACAAATGATAACAAATAATAAAAATATGTAATACATGAAAATATTAAAATAATTAAATAAAATTATGTTTTAATTTAATTATAATATTTATCAGGACCCTGCGTTGCTGGCGTTGTTGGTCTTAAAATGCCTCGATATTGCCTTTTTGGAGATACCGTGAACACAGCATCTAGAATGGAGTCTACTGGGGAAGGTAAATATAACTATCGATTAATATAAATATCGATTAAATATAAATATCATAAATATAACTGAACTATCGATTATCACTTTGCATTTTAGATTTTAGTGTATATTGCAAATTTATGAAACTGCCCACAAAAGAGTTAATAAATTTACTTTTAATTTTGTTTCGAATTAAAATCGCAAATTTCTCAATGGAAAATTTCTCAATTGTATTTGTGTACCAACTTACTAAAAGTATTCACCATTAGAAGTTACTCGTGAATTAATATAATCTTCACAAACTTGATTCAATTTGAAGAGAAAGAGCGGTGTTAATTTTTTTATTATTTGTATTGAATTTGTTAATTATGAGTGATATACAATAATTCATTTCTAAATTTAAGTCAGAAAAAAATGAAATATGTTTAAAGTTTTAGGAAATAAATATTAAAATTGGAAAATTTAACTTAGCGATTATGAAACATTTGTAACACCAAGAGTTCGAATTACTGTTTATTTTATCGTTAATCTTTAATAATTGTTCTGTGGCGCCAGGCATGGTGCGTAGGCGCCAAAAGAATCAACGGGATTACAAACACACGATCGGCAACCTTGGAACTGCCCCAGTATTTAAGAAGCTTCGAACTTTACTCAGTCTCTATCCCACACAGTCTTACTTAATTTTTATGTTTCTGTTTTTAGCTTGTTATGTTCAGTTGTTAAATAAATGTTAGTTTATTGTTGTCATAGTTGTCTTCAACTTAATACGAGAGGGTTCCTCCCCCTCAATTGGTGACCTTCGAACGTGATGTGACCACGCCTACCTTGGCAGTAACGCCCACTTCGATATGAACACGCCTACCTAGATAGTAACGCCTACTTCGATAAATGATCCACATTGAACAGTTGACTTGCTACTTGTGACAGCAACATTATCCATCTCCTCGCACTGTTGCTACTCAGTCTCGATCACGCACAACGTCGGCTTGCATACTTATGATTACTCGACTGCTAACGGCAACAGAGGAGCGACTACGACCGTGAAGTTAATACACCTCTCACATTCAGCACTTAAAAAAATACGGTGATCTTAATACAGCTCTCCCGGCTTCTCACAAAAAAACAGCAATGAATCAACTAGTGGTATTCGTTCATCGAATTCTATCACAGATATAATTCTAGTGGGGGAGTACTGTAGCGTATCTACCACTACAAAATTACAACTACAATTCACTAGTATATAAGACATGTTAGCTCGACTCTATGTCGGGGTACCTTTCATAGATGACGGTTGACATGGTCTGTAGCTACCCGCCCCCACAGTTCTAATATATCTAATAAAACACTTTTCTTAACTTAACATTTTTCGACATAAAGTATAACTAAATCTTATCAATGAACCCTTTAATTTTTTGTAAACTCAAATTTCATGCACTTAAATTTTTAACGATTTCAAAATAAAGTTTCGTTTTACATGCTAGCTAGACTAAAAGCAATTTAAAGTGTCTAATATAAGCTTCACTTTTTAAACTGTTTTTGTAGCTTAATTATTTTTGAAAAAAATATTATAAGGGTTTTAAAAATAATATTTTAAAAATCAATGAAACTATCCTATAAACTAACAAAATTTTAACATTTTTTCCCGACGCATTAATTTTTTTAATATTGCAGCAATGAAAATCCATGTCAGTGAGGCTTGTAAAAATATTCTAGACAAAATTGGAGGCTATGTTCTTGAAGAAAGAGGACTGGTGACCATAAAAGTATGTATTTCTTAAATAAAGCATATCAAATAAAACCGATTTCGTGATTCAGACCACACCCTAGATTGATTGGTTAAAGTCTGATACCGTTGTTATTCAAAGAATAGCAGTTCTAGTGATTTGAGAATAAAAGTTCATTTTCCCTTTACACGAGTGAAGTTAAAAATAGGCTAATCACGTGATATCCATTTAAACTGATTTCGCAAAAAAGATCTATAATAGTCAGGAAACATCTTTATTTTAACAGAACATACTAAATGATTATAGTTACAAAAAACCATCGTTATTTAAATTGATTTCATTCATTGTTAAGAGACTATGTTAAGAGTTAAATATTTAAAACCTTTCAGCAATTTACACAAAGATTAAAGAGAAAATCTTTATATATTTAAAAAAAAATAATGTCTGTCCGTTTGCGTCCTTTACAGACACCTAAACCGCCTGACCAAATGTGACGTAATTTGGCATACAGATAGTTTAAAGCAAAGGAAAGTTACGGTTGTCATTAGAACATTCTACGTTCAACCGTTCGAGTGGGATGAGCAAAAAACGAAATGGAATATTCTTAATGGTTAAGCATTAGCCATTTTTTTAAATTTAATTATAGACGATTCAGCTTTTCAAATATTTTAATGATAACGTCAGTGGTATTTGCTAGCTATTTGAGCAGCAAAAAAAGTTTATTGCGCGGACATTAATATTTAATTGATTTTTATTCTCTATGTCAACTGAATTGAATGAACAATATTAACGTGGTGGCATTCGTGGACTACTTAAATAAATTAATATTTCAAAAATCTGACACCTCGTGTTTATTTTTATTAAAGTTATTCTTTCAAAATGTGTTTCTATGAAATATAAATAATTTAAAATTAACGGTAATTAAATTGAAAAAAAAATTTTTTATGTATTTAAGCGCAAAATTAATGGAAAAGAAATATACATTCGTTTAGAAGAAGTTTTTAGTTTCGCGAAAATATTTTAAATTTATAATGATTGACCAAATTTTCACCGTGGTTATACATGAGAAACTATAATTACTTACGAAATTCCATGTCGACTGCAATCCAAACATATGTCTGCAATCCAAATTTAGGAATAAGTGAATCCATTTTCTATTAATATGTTTTTGATTAAGAATTTTGAAAGACAATATTTTCATCTCCTTATAGGGCAAAGGTGAAATGCGAACCTTTTGGCTCTTGGGTAAAGAGGTAATGGATTGCGAATCTTTAATACCCACAAAACTACGTCCACCATCCAGTTGGGACGTCAGGCATCCCTTACCAGACTTACTAAGCGGTGGTCGTCCATCATTAATCACATCGCCAAGCATCAATGAGAGTTGTCTCACTCTATTTGATGACATCAAGAGAACAGCTGAAAATGAGGTCAGGAGGACAAATAATAGTTATCGGTCTGCCCCCGCTCTTAGTTTCAGACAGTTCTTCTCACCTGATGACTGCGTACTGTGATTACAGAATTGTGCAAAGATTTGTGGTTTGGGTGATATGCAAGATAATATTCAACCGGTCAATGATATTTCAATATAGAAGAATTATCTGGTACCAAATTGTGGTATAGTCAATAGCTACATTCATCGGTAATCATGCCACCAGGATTCAATGAGTTCTGTCCTACTTCATTTGATGATGTCACACCACCAAGGTTCAAGAGGACATCAGAGAACGAAGTCAGAAGAATATATAGTATTTACTGGTCAGTCCTTATCTGACAGCTCTTTGTAGTTGGAGTTGGTATTTTGTAATCATTATATAAAACGTTGACCAGCTTAAGCGTTGTCTGAGATAATATTCAACTAACTACTGACCAATATAAATGAAATATCATGTGCTGCAAGAACTATTGTCGATAGCTATGTACTTCATTAATTTTGCTGCCTTATTAATTTATTGGATGACATTAACAAGACAGCAGAAAAAGAAGTTAAGAGGACAAAAAATAATCACTGGCTTTTGCATTTATTCTCAGATTCATGGTTCTTCGTCTGAAGTCTTGTTTGTTATCATACTATTGAATGGTGTATTCCTTAAGTAATGATTCAACTTACCAATATGGGAAAATAATTCGGTGCTATAAGTATTGTGGTATATAACTGTATTGAACTGTAATCATGTCTTTCAGTATATATAAGTTTTAATTTTAAAAAATGCGAATAATTGTTATGAGTCAAGAATAAATGCGAAAACGGGATTAACTCATTAAATATTGTAAAGTTTAAAGTGATATCTGTGATGATACTTAAGTTATTAGCAAAAAAAGAGTGACATGATTTATAACAAGTAAGAGTTCTAATAGTTTTAATAGAGAGAATGTGGCGTAACTACCACTATAAATATTAAATACCAATCACTAGTATATAAAACATGTTAACTTGATTCTATCACGAGGTACCTTTTGATAGATGAAGGTTGACATCGTCGAAGATTAAACTCCCCACATTGGTGACCTACGGACGTGATAAGAAATTGTCAATATTGATGGATGAATCCACATTAAACAGTTGATTTGCTTAGAAAAATATACTGCTCAAAAAAAAAAGAAATCCGGTGAAGGTAAATAAAGTCTCCCGGTTAATAAAAAATAACGAGCGAAATGCTTGGAAGAAAAAAATAAATATAATGAGCAAAAATTGAATTTAAATAAACAGCATTAATCAACTAGTGGTATCTGTTCATCGAATTCTATCACAGATAAAATTCTGGAAGGGGAGTAATGTGGCGTAACCAGCACTACTTAAAATATCACAGATTNATTGGATTATGAGACTTTATGAATAGGATATCGACATACTGATTATTGTGGTATTTCTCCCGTTGTGATTGTATTTTTCTGTTAAAGTGAGATTTTATTCAAAACTTTTAGATATTATATTCTCTGTAGTAAAAAAAAAACTATTTAATGTTGCAGTTTCAATAATGAAGTGTTTTAAATAAGAAGTGGTTATATTTGGTATCTAAAAACCGTGCCCAGATTTAACACTACTGCCAGGCAATCGGGCTTACTTTTATAGAAAACATTAATTTATTATTCCATTACATTAATTTAATTTAACGCTTATAGATAAACGCTGAGCTCGTAGATAAAACATTTTTATAGATCATTATATCCTGATAGCCCAAAGTAACACTATAATTCCCTTATCGATTTTACGTCCCACTATCATTATCATTAGTCTAGAATTCAATCATATTTTAAAATAAAAACTTTAAATTAATTATTAACCTATTATATAAAACTTAATAAAAGAAATACTATTCCTAAAACTAAATATTTTGCTTATTTTTCAACTCTACTGCACAATTGCAACTACCCAAGTTCTATACAGGTGTAAATACTATCACAAAAATTCTGAAATGTTATTAGTGAGTAAATACAATCTTTGTCTTTATAAGTTTTGAACAAAAACAGTTGAAAAAGAAGTCGATTTAATACTACAAGAAAATCTTTTTTTTTTTAAAAAATGAATACAAATGCAGAGGAAGGTAACAAATTTGCAAATTATATAACGGTATAAAATAGTCTCATAAAAACTACTATAACGTTTCTTGAAATGAAATATGCAAGATGCATCTTAAAGTTCATCACAAAATTTTCTTTTGCCGCCCCTCTATTTATAACAGCGTGTTCAAACTAGTTGGGTTATGGGAGACGGTTTATTAGTTTTATAGAGCATAGAAGGTCAATTTGTTTTCAGCTTTGGTGACATCAGAATCTCAAAATTTATTCAACCTTCTTTTGAAATCACACTACGATATACGCTACGATGATGAATATTGTTAAGCAACTCTTTGTGATCAAGCTTTCCTCAAATGCTTCTGATTTATTCAGTGATTTGTGACAAAATGCTTCTGATTTATTCGGTGTCCCCAAAACCAAGGAAGACGTGAATCAGCAAATTGTCTTTTTTATCTTCAAGGTTGTTTATCCACAGATACAATAAAAACTACCTACTTCATGCATATTTTGGAAAAACCAAGGAAGAAGAATTATCCACGAGCAAAAATACATCACGCCCACCTGGCTGTAATAATAACATTAGAGGTGTCTAAGCTGACGTCACTTCACTTATCTATCCAATGGCAATTCATGAATGATAATTAGCTACTGATACCAACTAATAGGAACATGTTTCCACTGGAAGGTGATCATGAATCTTCCTTTGGAAATGGTGCAAATTACAATTAATCGATTTATTTCACTTAGCGATATAGTTCAGCTTCCGACTTGGAGATCTCTATTTGTGGCTGTGCAATCGTTAATTTTTCTACAGCTGCCATAAACTGCTTTATTATTCGCTAAGACCCTGTAACTTTAGCTTATTCAGCAACGTAATTCAGTGCCAAAATTCTTGTACCTTTAATTCACTTTGAAATGTTAAAAAATAAAACTTAATCCCAACTCGTTGTTGATAGTACCGAAAAATATCGGTTTTATCAACAACGGGTACTATCAACAATATATAAATATACCATAAAATAATAATATATAGTACCAAAAAATAATACCATGATCAATGATGGTTCCATATGAAGATTTAAAGAGGCAGTTTGTCCAAAAAAAATTTATATCTAAAATTCTAAGATAATAAGTTAGTTTTTCTAACTGATTTAACATCTACTATTAAAAAATACCATTTGATTGATATTGTTACGTCATTTACTTATAAATTTTCAATATTTTTTGCTATTTATCAGTGACTTTTTTGGATTAGTGATTTCATCGAATTGTAAGAGCTTCAAACTTTCTCTATAACGCTTCAAACTTTCTCTTTTCTCATTTTTAATTTACTTAATATTCTAATTGCGTAGTATTTAATTTGAAAATCTCAGCTTATCAGACCATTTTTTTAACTAGAAAAACTGCACCTTTAAAAACTACACTACAAGAGTTCAAAATGTGTCAAAGTGACTTCGAAGTGCAGTAGTCAAATTAGAAAAATTGAAACAACATTATACTCTTTTTTTAAGCAAAAGTGATGAGAATGGAGATATATGAGAGAAAGATGTTCATTGGCTGCTGATGATATTCGAACCAAAGACCTCCGGGTTTATAGTAGGATGCTTTACAGAGGCTACAATATAAAACTTAAAAACTCTTCCTGTACTGGGGTGTACAAGGGGGATCCAATTATGAACTCGATGGTCTTGGTTCGAATCATGTTGGCAGCTAACGAACATTTTTCTCACACATCACTTTTGAGACTACGGATTTTGCTTAAAAATGAGTGAGCTGTTTCAAGTTTTACTGCATAGGATTTTTAAAGATGACTATTTGTTTCGGAGCTAATTTGAAAAATTGTTACTCAATTTTGGGAAATCTTTTTTTGCTGCATGGTATTAAAACTTTTTCGATTCTATTTTCGTTTGAAGAAGTAAACAATCAGTGATCATTACTAGGATGTATGCTTGCTTGTTTATTTATTTGCTAAAAAATATATGTTATAACTATTACCAATTCTCCGCAATCAGATATATTTTACAATTCTCTAAATCAAGCGTTAAAAAGAACTGATTTTGCACTCAGTTTTCTGTCTCTTTTCCGAAAAGTTCTAAACTGTTCAAATTGAAATTTAAATCCATTAAGTTAATGAAAGATTACTCCCAATTCTTGGTTTTTCATTTTAGTCATTGCTTTGGCAATACCATTATTTTATTTGCAAATCTGTAACTTTTTATTCATAATACAAAATTAAAACAAAAACAAAACTAAACTGATACTAATGACAAAACTAGATAACTAGTTAAATTTATTACTGCAATTTTCGTAATTCAAATATTTACCATAGAAATGCTTAAATTTTCGTGTAAAGAAGTTTTTATGTCGTTGTACTGCTAACAATTCAGATAAAAACCTTTAAAATTAATTATTGCATTTACAATTCAAAAATCTAATGAATACACAAGCTTAACAATCATAAATTTACGAAATGCAATCATGTTTCAAAATTTTTTTTAAAAATATGTCAACTAAACTTTATCTTTTTAATAAAATTCTTAATATAATCTTTAACTGTGTGTATATATATATAATACATGTATAATAGAAATTTTTAAACTTCAATATTTATGAGTGCGAAAAAGTTTGTGATACTTTATTTGTTTTCTATGTACTGTAAAGTAGTGTAAGCCATTGTTCTCGTTTATTTATATATAATAATTTATATTTGTTTTGTCATGAATTTTTAATAAATTTTTAATAATTTATAACAAATTTTACTCTTTTTGATGGAAGTACGTTTTAGTCTTTTTTCTAAAATTAGATAGAACATTTACACTTTATATTTTTAAAGTAATTTTTATAAATCTCTCTAATAATTAATTTATATGATATAAAAATATTTTAAAATATTTCAACATGAATTTTTCAAAATGTATTTAGCGTTCAAATATCATTAAGGCTGTAGTTCAGTGTAGTGAACCATTTATTAAATCTTTAGGTAAATGAAATAGATCTCATCTTTAAAAGTTTTCTACTTCGTAAAATTACATTTAATGACTTTACAATTAAATTTAAATTTTACTAATGAATCTCACTATCTCGATAATTTTTTTTTACAGTTTTAAAACTTATTAACATTTGTTAAAATATGTTGAATTAGAATTTGAGCATTTTCGATGTTATTTAGATTAAATATAAATACTTTTTCTAAAATATGATATGAAATGAATGAACTGAATATTATTTTATAGATATTAATTTATAATTTTCTTAAAGTTTTTAATATACAACTTAATTTAACGACTTTATACATTTTTTGAGACAAAGTAACGTACCTTAGACCTTCTGAAGATTTTTTAGAAAATGTCAACCAATGTTTAAAGGAGAAATAACAAATTGAATGATGTTTTACAATGAGTTTTCGAATTATTGCTAAATTGAAGAATTTGTGAGGTTTATGAGGTTTTAACATATATTCGTGCTAATAAAATTTTTTTAATATCAAATGATTTTGGAAGTGAACGAAAAGTTATTTACGCTTAAAATAATTTTAAAGTTTAATGTTTGAAATTTATGAATTTAAGTTACATTCTTTATTGACATTGTTTTAATAATAACTATGTCTCACCTATCAAACAATTGAATTTTAAGAAAAGAGCATACTAAAATTTCCAATAAATTCTTATCTTTTTAACTTAAGTAAATTAACCTATAATTAATTAAGTAATTCTTTTACATCAGCGAAGTTGCTTATAATATTGTTATTTTTTCTTTTTTCAATATTTCATCGAAATTTTAAATTTT